AACTATCATCTAGTCTTGGAAATCTTTGAAAGTCCAACCTGGGTTAGGACATCATGTGCTCATGGCACCATCTAGAAGGGGCACCAAACAATTGAGGGGGAAGAAAAGCTAATCTGAAATTATTTGATTTTTTTGAAGGCAATAAATATTTATCCCAGGCAAAATCAAAACTTTGCTGGTCTTCACTGCACTGGCTCTATATTTCAACATTATTTTTGTTTACTTACAAAGGATTACAACATAATCCTTTCAATGGCACACCCTGGGTATGCCTTCTTAATGTTCTCATATGTAAGATACGTTCTATAATTGTTGCTTTTCTCAAATATCATCCCAACTGGAATGTGAATCCTTTTTTTTTAATTGTTTTAAATTTTTATTTGTTTTTGAGAGAGAGACAGCGTGTGAGCAGGGGAGGAGCAGAGAGAGAGGGAGACACAGAACGTGAAGCTCCAGGTTCCAAGCCGTCAGCACAGAGCCTGACGCGGGGCTTGAACTCACAAACTGTGCGATCATGACCTGAGCCGAAGTCGGACGCTCAACCGACTGAGCCACCCAGGTGCCCCGAATGTGAATTCTTCCTGAACAGGAACCATGACTCTTCTTGTTTATACCCAGTGGTGGCTGCGATGCCTGCCAAATACTAGGAGTTCAATAAATGCTTATGTACAGAAAGAAAAAGGAGGGAGTAAGAGAGGATGGATGGGAAGACGGGAGAGAAAGAACAAAGAGGGAGGAAAGAAGGGCATTTCTTCTAGCCTAACATCCCGTATTTATAACTTTGAAATTGAACTCTCAATGCCCCTCATGCCCTGATAGCTTTGTTAGCAACATATAGAAAGGCAGCTTTGAACGCTGGCAAGCCCGAAGACAGGTAAAATCGGTTCTTGTCAAGCCCAGTCTTCTCTAAGGATGAGTTGGTTGTTCTCCAGCTCTCGCCTAGAAAGGTCTTTAATGTGAATCCAGTATCACTTTGGAGTTCCCACAGGATATATAACTAGTCACTCTCCACTGCCTTCCCTGAGCTACCTGCTTCCTAATACATACCTCAAGAAACTCCCTGGACCATTAGCCTCCGGCAAAAACTGGTGGATCCCAAAGGCTGGCAAGCTCCACATACCAACTTTCAGAAGAATCTCAATCTGCGGCAATCCAGTAAATGGTACTAATAGCAGTATATTCCGCTCACACCAAAGCCATGGCCAATGGCCTGCCCCTTCTACCCCATTTGCACACTGACAAAAGCCTACCAATTCAATGGGTCACAGGGCCCTTATTTTCCCATTAAAAAATAATAAAAGGCTAAACTGAGACATATGCTAAATGAGAACCAAACTATTTTGAAAAGTTATAATGAATTCTTATGACAGGAATTATATTATGCATAATATAAACATCTGTATTTAAGGAAGATAATGGTTTAGCTCCAGGAAATAATAGCTAAGCAGTGATGACTTAAGCAAATGTTTTGCAATTAATGGAAATAAAAATTACATATTATTACAGTTAAGGGATGTTGGGGAAATGGGATAGGAGGTAACTCATACCGATGGATTCTGACGCAAGAGAGAATTAAAGTTTCTATAAAACAAACCCTCCCCCAAAGAGGGAAGCAGCAAAAAAGATCAAACTTCTTGGGTTCAAAGATGTTAAATTCTACTCTTTAAATCCCGTTACATATGTAGTGACAGCACAACCATGTCTACCTTCAACAGAGTCAATCCACCTCTTAAAATGAGATATTTAAAGGCAGACTGTTGGCCTTGTGTCTTGGATGGCAGATCACAGAATTCCAAAGCCCTTAAGATGCTGTAGCACTGGTTCTTACTAAGTCGTAATTAACTTCATTGGGAGTTACATGATAGCAACTTAGAACAGCATTTGGCTGAACATTTTTAGTATTCTTCCACTCGGTAATTACTACTTCAGTGGGAATCTCAAGTAAGGAACACAGGGCAGAATTTGGCCCACAAAGAGAAGCACATCAAGTAACTGGCCCAATTTGTCATGCCAATAACACAGTGTATTAAAATCTCCCACGAACCTTCCCCATTAGTGCGCTGATTTTATCATGAATGTAAATTCCACCAAAATGACTACTCAGATCCTTTACCAAGTCTCCAGGAAGGGCAGTGTGTAGGAGAGAATATGGTCAGGGAATGGCTCCATATACCCGATAACCACCCTAGAAGGGCAATTATGCACAAACTAAGTAAAGAGTTGGATGCTATTTGGCAGTTTAACCACATAATAAATTCCTATTGATGCAAGAAAAAGGAGCCATCGCATCCTAGTCTGGGCATTAAATATCTGAAGAATAAGATTTAGGCCACTGAGACTTGGACTTGTGTTTCAAAATGAAAACCCAATACTAGGTTCAGAATGATAGCTATAATGACAGTCATATATTAGAAAACTTCAAATTATACAATATGTAATTTTTCGCTACCATTAATTGTGGAACATAATAGGTCCTGAAAAAACCAATCGTGATTCTTCTTCAAAAGTGTTTATATAGAGCATGACCTAATTTTTATTATAAAAATGGAGACTTTCTTTCCTTTTTTTTTTTTTGCTTGCTTGCCTGCTTTAAATTACAGTATTCACTTGGAAACTAATTTTAGGCATTATCCATTTGACATTTGAGTTTAAAGGACATTCAAAAATCACAAATTGATGCTGAATATAGGAAGACTAGATTTTTAAAATATATTCTTGCCTTCACTACCTACATTCCTCTAGGCGATTCACCTGAGATCCTGAAGAAGATAACTAATTCATTTCCTGAGGGTCAAGCCACAATCCCCTTGATGTGGTGTCTTGGCCAGACTTTCAATTGAAGGCCATTAACACCACTTCCCCCCCCCCCCCCAGCAGTCTTACCTCTCTTTTGTCATGAAGTCCTCATTCTCTACCGCCACCTTGTTACCCGCCAGCAGCTGTTACTTCTCAATGGCCCCAGCACTGAGAAACTAGAGAAAAATCGTACCAATATGTCCTACCAAGTAAGGCAGACTGCTGTCCCATTGGCCAGCCCACCCATCAATGCGCCATGTTTGTTAACATTCGAAAAGACATTTGTGCAGAGCAAATTGACGGAGCCCGTGTTTATATCAGAAACTTCAGAAATGGCAAGAGATTTATTCGTGGAATCTTAACACCCATTCAGACTGTCATAAAACACAAAGGACCAGATTCAATAAAAACTCTGTCCAATTTCCACAACACAAAAGTCTGTGTGAGCCTTCAAAACAAAATCAGTTTTTCCAGTTTTGCAAAGGGCTGTTCAGACTTCAGGAGCATGGGAGCCAGCTGGGGCATTTCCTTACTCATCCCTTAAATTAGTTTCAAAAGTACTTTTGAGGACCACATTTGATCAGAAGAATTTGCATGCTTTTCTCCTTTCTCTCTCTCTCTCTCTCTCTCCCATCCTCTCATTCTCTCTCTCACACACACATTTCATAGTACATCACATGGAGAACAAACGACAGAACTGCAGCATATGTCTCATGCAGTTAAAAGCTTTAAAACTGGCCCGTAAAACAGAATTCTTTGGTACACAGTGAAAAATATTTTTTGATTCCATAATCCATACTGCAGTAAAGTTGGGTATAATCATTTTTAAAAGTTGCTGTGTCCATGGACAGATGTTTTTCATACATACTGGGAATGTTTCCTTTACATTCCTAAGGACATAAGAGTTTGACATCGAGCCAGTACCTCTAGAAATGGTGAAAGCTAAAGACACCCCATACTGATGCTTTTACTCTTCCAAGAAACTTTCTCCCACAACGAAAATGTTAAAACTTTTACCCCACAGCCCACATTCTGAGATTAGTCCAATAACTAATGTTCTGTCCAAGTAAAATACATTTTGTCATAGCTTGAAAATGTTACCTTTCACAGAAGTATAGTATTTCTGACCAGCAGGGAACATATGTCAACATTATCTATTATTACCCAATGTCAGGACCAAAAAGGGAAGGTGGGTGGTGGATGTTAATAACGACTTAAGCGATTTCTAAAAGAGGCATTTGAGAAGTACAAAGCCAGAAGTTTCAAATGTTTTGTCTTATTTTCGCTGTGTCAGCAACCTGCCCCCCCCCCCACCCCTCACCAGAACAAACCTAACGCTGCCTCCGACCCAACGCCTAGTTCTCTTTTCAATTTTAGCCAACGCTTTGCTAAGCTGGAAAGTTTGAAAAATACCCTAGAAAACTTCTCCACCAGAAATGAAAAACAAAAACATATGACCAGCAATGATGAAAGCAACTCCCACTCGCTAAGAAAAAGATTTTCAATCACAGAAGCACACGGCTTTTGGATTTGAACATTTATTTTCATTTTTCAAGCTACTTGTCTGGTGTTTAGATTTGGGGGTTGGGTTTCTTGTTTGACATCGGAGGAGGTGGGGGTAATGCTGGTTGGGAGCGTAATTGTATTTAAGCAATTTTCTCAAAGGTAAGCAGAAAGTATTCTCCTCGTGCAACAAAGCTGCCCGGGAGACCATGCCCGTCCCCAGCTGAATATGGGTTTCTCCTGCAGGAGGAGCTGAAAGGCACATTCCACAACAGTCCAGAGGAGAAAAAGTGTCTCCCACCTCTCTTACAGTTGGATCAAGATGTGGCAATACTATATTGTGAACTGGCGGCTCACCATGCCTCTGTCCTGGGCATCCATAACCATGAACTCAGAATGTGCTTGGAGCCACCACGATTGGGAACAATCAAGTTCTTACTGTCCTTGGGGGCCACGTGGCTCTCCAGGAAAAGAGACTTGAGCTCTCACCTCACTACATGTGTATCTTGGGGAAATTTTCACTTTGGATCATAGAGAAAGATGTGCATCCTGGTTCAAGCCTAGAACAAGAAGTACTGGGGTAATATGTCCCCTGAACCCTAGAGATTTGTACACTTTCGATTCAGGAGCATCGATTGGAAATGATATGTGTCGACATATCATTCGATTCATGTATCATTCATTCACATCGATTCAGTGTCGAGTTTCTGCGCCTGTTGAAAAGTTGATTGTCATTCACTCACCTGTTTGGCTGCTAGAAAAACCAAATCTTTCTCTTCGAAGAAATCATTCAAGAAAGATTACAGAATAAAAGCATCTAAATAAGTCCCTCAAGTTAGGAGGCTCTTAGAACTATAGGAAACACAGCCCATGGCAGAGCACGTGTCACAAGACTGGAGGCAACGCCTACTGTTTTGACTTCTGGGGGAAGTCATCCTAATTCATTCTTCCTCATCTCATTCAGCTTCTGAGGACAGAAGTCGTACAGCTATAGGTTCCTTCTGGATAGTGTATCACTAAGGCAAAAGGAGACTTTAATCCTACTACTGAAGTCTTCCATTTTGCTCATCAAACAGTCCTTTAGTTGCCAAATGACAGGAGTCCATATTTGTCCCAAACCTGAATCACGGCTTAGAACAATCAAACTATAAAGAATTTTCTACTCTTGTGGTGTGATGTTGCCCTGCACACCAAGTGGAGGGAATGCTTTGCAGCAAGCCTCCCAGTGCTGCAGGAGACCATTCCCTTCAGGCATCAGTTCTCTGTCCCCCACTCCTCCTGGAACCACATTCACAATATGGTCCATGCGGTTCAGGGTCTGTTTGTGCTCGTGGTAGAGGATAAAGTTAATTGACCACCTCTCGTTTAGAACATGGCTTCTGAGAAGTTCCACCTGAGCTAACAAACCACAGAAGGTGTTGAAGTTAGATAAATAGTGTTCTTTAGAAGACTCTTTAAATGTCAACATTTAATCTCAAGATGGAAAAAAAAAAAAAAAACCTTGAAAGTTCAACCTCCTTATTTTTAAAGATGCAAATTGAAGCCGAGAGACCATGAGCAGCTTGCTATGTCACATGGCTCAGTGGGCACTCTGATCCCACTCTGTTTTGGCATGACATCATGGGAAAGTAAGTTAAATAGGGGTGGATCCTGGTATCCAGGATCCTGGTTTCCTTCAGGCAGGGAGAATTAGGTAGCAAGTTGGAAAAGGTGTGAGGGGCCCCGGGTGCTGTCCCAAGGTTATGATGCTGTTTCCGTGGGCTTCTTCATCTGTGATTTGGGCACTTTTCTGCAAGTATGTTATCTTTCAGCTAAAAAAGAAGGAAAGAGAAAAATGATACAGTTGTGTTTATACACGTAATTTTTAGTGAAAAAAGCTCTCCTTACAAAAGTTAAGATAAAAGACCACATACAAAGAGAGTTGACTTAAGTTATCATTTCCATCCCCAGCACTGGGAAATGAGAATTAAGGATTCCAATGAGGAAAACAGTAACACAAGTCTTCAAAATAACAATAACTTTCATTTGAAATGTACTAATCAGGTTATACAATATTCTATTTCATTTCCCTTGATGTTCAAAACAGCCTGTTCTCAAAGAAGAACATTTGTGTCATCATTTTATAAGGATGAAAACTTAAGTTCAGAGAGATTGATTAACTCATCAAAGGTGACACAGCCGGTCGGCTGGCAGGGCAGGAAGGAAAAGTTGGGTATTTTGACCCCTGCACATCTAAGCATTTTCTCCACTACGCATGCTGCCAGTCAGAGTCATACCTTGCCTTTGTGGGGACGTAGGACATTCTCATTCATTCCCCACAATACATACCAAAGATTAGGTGCTTCAGGGATTACAAACATGGAATGGAAATCTATCTTCAAGAAATTTGTTTTTTTATAAGGAAGTGAAACAGCTTAGTTTTTAAGATGTAAGTTCAATCACCAAAAATTAATCTTACGGGACAATTTTGTCTTCAGTTGCATTTTGAGATGGCCAGAGTCTAAGAAAAGCTGAAGAAGCATTTTAGGTTCAAACTGCCGAGAACCTAGTTCCTTTTTGAGCCAAGAAACATTTTTAGGGGTGGAAGCGGGGGAAGATGTGATATTTTAATTGTTTCTCTGCTGGTGCATGACTCCTGAATAGACCTTATGCCTTATAGAGAGGTTAAGAGACACTAATGAAAACACCAGTATGAATGTTTGTTTTTTCATAATTTGGAATCTGAAAAATGTAAATGATGCCTAATCTCTACCATATCCCATCTAAGAAGGAAAAAAGGCTTGGAAGAGACAAGAGACAAAATTAAAAGATGAAATTATGCCCGGGCCTTCTTCCTACTGATGTCATCTGAGCAGCTAACCTAGCTGAGCCTTAGAAGCTCTGCCAGTTTTAATGGTGAGCACGTTAATTTGTATAATAGCCTCTTGGGTGAATAGGTTACATGTTCTGCCTCAGAGTTATCCTGGAACCTTTTCCTGGGTAATATCATCACAATACTTGCTTCTTATATTGGCCTATGATGAACAGATGACATTTGCCTGGATTTGGATTGAGTGTTAATATACCATATTAGATTGCAGCTGACAGGCCCCCTTTTTCAATTTATTTGAGGCTTCTTGCAGAAGAATAGTAAAACATATGATGGGTCCAGATACAACTAGCCAAAAGCAGACCAGAAAAAGAATTATGCCAAATTAATGGAACTGAAGTAATCAGGGCATTGTAGAATTTAGTCCATTGTTTCTCAACCTTCTCATATGAGCAATTCAGAGCACCACACAGTCAGTATGTTTGGTTGCCATAAAAGGAATAGCTGTATGAAAATACTGAAATAATAAGCTATAACCAAATTAGCATGTGAATTAGAGTAATATTTCCAAGGAAAAAGGTACTGATACGAACTAAAAGCCTAGAATCCATACATACTGACTCAACAATCCACTTCTAGAAATATGTTCTAAGACAGCCGCCAAGAATATGAACAAATATTTGGCTACATGCAACATTTATGCCAATCGTATTTATAATCTGGAAAATATTGGAAACAACCGAATACTCAACAATAGGGGATTGATTAAATAAATAATGGTGCAGCAAGATAAAGGACATTGTGGAAGAATATTTAGTGACACTGAAATATATTCAATATAGATTCTTACACAAAAAGAGATTTAAAAAAAAATACAGTAGGAGATACATTTTTCTTTAATGTGCATAGAACAGAACATGCGTAGATGAAGTGCTTGGAGGCATGTGAGCCAAAATGCTAACAATGGTTACTTTCTAATTGTGGGATTGTGGGTTGTTTCTTACTTTCTTACTTTTATAAATCTAAACTTCCTAAGTTTTCTATAATGGATCTGAGTTACTTTTGTTAAGAGAAAAATAGCTTTTTTTTTTAAATAAAGAAGAAATGGCCACCACACACCATAGAAGCATTTGTCAATGCAGCAGAAACAAACAAACAAACAAACGTTACAGGCACATTTATTATCTTCTGTTCTCTTCCATTCAAAGTGAAAACGCCGTTCTAGCAAAAACGAAAATAAAATACGATTGTTTTTAATTACTCTATTTTTCTGTGGCAAACGTAGAATGTAAAATATTAAAATTATCTGAGGAGAATATTGTAAGTATCAGTTTCAACACGGCAATGCAGTTCAGTGGGCTACAGACTTGATATTTAATCTGCTATTATGAGTTTACATAATGCCTCAGTGTCTCAGTTTAATTACTAATAAAAGGGGGACAGGCTGTGAGTCATAGTCAGCTCGTTGAAGAATATTAGACCAATCAAACCAAAAGAATGCTTTAATTTCATTTGGTCTTAGTTCCTGCTTTAGAGCAGGATTAAAAATAAATATAGAGAAAGAGATGGAGAAAGTGAGTCACCTAATTTACATCTAACATAACGCAAACAAGCATTTCTTTAATAGGTGTTCAGTACCTGAAGTGCTAAATTACAGCAACTTAGAGAGGCAACTTCTTAATGGAAAATCCTAGCATTTTTAATCTCAGTGCAGATATTTTACCTTGTCAACTCAGAATTCATCTGATTTTGAAAAAGAAAAATCTTTTACTTGGAGACAAAGGTAAGCCACAGTACACCTCAAACTAATTAAAGATGAATCTCTTCTGGAACAATGGTACAAAGAAAAAAGCAAATTATATTTTATAACTCAGACAAAACAGTCATCTACCAAAAGAATATTGCCTTCTTTTAATTATTAGAATAAATCATTCCATGGAAAACTGTTTGGCACATAGTGAAGATAAGAAGATGATAAATATAATACAAAACAATAAAAGGAGATAGATTCTCTATTCAAGCAAACTTATCCTAGTTGCAAGTGAAACCCTGAGGGCCCACATACCAAGTTACCTCAGAGGCCTCAAAATGTCAATGGTACCTCATATAAGACCTTCATATAACCTAAACTGATTAAGATTGATCCAATTTAATTTTCAGTAACTAGCCCTTGGTAGCATCCTGACTAAAATAAAACACTGAAACTTTTTCCTCAAAAATATTTTTAGCTACTAGGAGAAAAGCCATAGTAGGTATTTTATTCATTAAGTATGAGTTGAGTAAACATGGAGTGAGTGGTTTATGCTTAACCAGGTAGAGTAATGAGCATTTGGCGGTAGGGCAATAGGTTGGAGCGCAGCCTAGGATTTGCTTGAGTTCCATTTCTGAGTAGCCTCCCTTTTCTAGAGACACTTGGGTGTTGAAAACCCAAGTACATTTCTAGAAGCTTTTCTGATCTTTGGCTTTGAGCCCCACAGCAGGTACTTAGAAACTACACTTACAAGAACTCTGGTTATTTGGTTCTGAAAGAAAAGAGAAAGAAAAGAGAAAGAAAAGAAAAGAAAAGAAAAGAAAAGAAAAGAAAAGAAAAGAAAAGAAAAGAAAAGAAAAGAAAAGAAAAGAAAGAAAATAAACCCAATGTTATTACTCATTGTTCCCCTGAATCAGCTAACCAGAGTTCCTCCTGGTCCTGGGATGAGGTCTCTTCCCATATACAGATCTACCCAGTGTATGACAAGGTTTCCTGGCAGTGCTCAGCAGTTTGCTTACTTCCCACTTTCCCCTAGGTCAAGAGACCTATGCTCTAGTTGTAAACTTACAAACTCATATAGTGAGCCTAAGAAATTCACGTAGCTTCTTTGTGGTCCATATTTCCAGTCTATTTAGGATGAGATTAATTTATTCAAAAAAAATTCATTGAGAGCCAATGATGTCCCAGGCACAATTACATGTGTTAAAGAGTATTCTATACCCACTGTTTCCAGTCTCCTGGAGTTTAACATCTTAGTAAGGGAAGCAAAGCCAGAAAATTGCAAAAGGAAAAAAAAATCAACAAAGTCAAAAAGTAATATGTAAAAAATAGCATAGGGAAATGTGAGAGAATATGCAGCAAGGAGATGAGTTTTAGGCTCTTACCATATCAAGGCAAGAGATGAGTTTTAGGCTCTTACCATATCAAGGCAAGAAGAGTATTGGATATATTCAAGACAGCAAAAAGATAAGATTTACTGATGGATTAGATATAGGGTGGTAAAGGTAGTAAGAAATCAAGGTTGAGTCCTAGTTTTTCTTTTCTTTTTTTTAAATTTTTTTTTTCTCAACGTTTATTTATTTTTGGGACAGAGAGAGACAGAGCATGAATGGGCGAGGGGCAGAGAGAGCGGAGACACAGAATCGGAAACAGGCTCCAGGCTCTGAGCCATCAGCCCAGAGCCTGACGCGGGGCTCGAACTCACGGACCGCGAGATCGTGACCTGGCTGAAGTCGGACGCTTAACTGAGTGCGCCACCCAGGCACCCCTAGTTTTTCTTTTCAACATCTGCACAGATGAGGTTGGCATCTACTCAGCTGGAGAAAAGTGGTGAAGATCAGGTTTGAAGGTTGGTAAATCAAGAGTTCTGTGAGTTGGTTGTTAAATACTGCCCTACATGATCTCTAAGGTTAATTCCACTTATAATATTCTGTGACTCTAGGTTGTGATGAGATAGACCATTCTGAGAGAAGAAAGATGGTGAGAAATAAGTTATATCATGTCAATGAGTAACTGGGGTAGGGAAGAAATGGTGGCCAAGAGAATCTAGGACATATAGAAAATGTGTGTGAACCCAGTTGGTAAAATCATGAACTCAGGTGTCTAATTCACTGAGTATTAAGATTTTTAAAAAGGCAAGAAGATTGTTGATCTAGAGCCAAAGTCACTGGAGACCTAGTACATTCCCCTGAAGATCCATACAGGATATACAGAAGATAGCTCATTCATCTGGAAGGCAGGAGGGCAAAGCAAAGATGGTGGAGACCTCTCTCAGTCACTGATTTGTGCAAGAGAGCTTGTTGGCTCTTTGTTCTTTTTTAGGTTTTTATTTCTTTTTTTAGGTAATCGCTACACCCAACCACCCAACACGGGACTCGAACTCACAACCCCCAAATCAAGAGTCGCACACTCTTCTGCCTGAGACTGCCAGGCAGCCCCGCCTCTTTATGCTTAAAGAATAAGTGGGTTAGGAGACTATAGGAATATGCCTGGGTGGGTTTAGTGTGAAACCTGCCATTTTATTTTGTAAGGGCTGGACTTATCACCTCAGAAGTGTGAAAACAGGTGTGAAAAACATCCCCCCTTCCCACCACCATTTCTTCTAATAAACGCGTTATTATTTTTTAAACGTCTACTGGGATGGAATGATTCTAAACGTCCCACAGTCCTTATTCCCCATACCTATGCTTAACCTTCTCCAACAGAATTGTCTAAAACTCCTGGGATCAGAAATGTGGTGTCATGAGAAGGTCAGGGAGATACAGGGTTCATTGCTATGGAACACACTTTTATTTCACTTTGCTACAAGTTACTATACTTTAAAAGAAGGATTTGCAGCATCTGTTTCATAAGACGATGCTCCTGAAATGTAGTTAGGAAGCATGAGGAATATTTCTGTCCCCTTAAAAGAAACCAGTTTGCTGAAGTCACCACCACGGGCACAGGACAGATGACAAACTATTACTGTTCCCATTTACAACCAGAACCGGATACAACCAAGGATCACGGGAGACGTTGCGAGCAAAAGCATTTTGTAAACGGCAGCGTAAGGTGCAAACATAAGATGTGATTTCTTTTGCTCTTATTCAATCATGAAGAAATGGATGTTGGCTGTCAGTGGCTGGGGTTCCTTAAGGCTGGATCATAAATGTGCTATCACAACCAAAGCTGGTTTTAAACAATCTAAGCAATTGCTATTGCTGCGAAGAATGGTGGCTTCACATGGACAGCATCAATCTGACCATAACAGTTTCACTTCAGCACTAGATACTTGGCATTTAATAGCACTCCAAAGATACAGCGTGGTTTTTTTCACGCCTTTTTATATTTGGTAAGTGATAGGTTCCACCCAGCTAGAGTTCCAATTTATTTTAAATAAGAGATTTTACCAAAAACCTCACCTAAACGCCTACCCTCATATATTTCTGTTTAATTCTAACCTCTTTTTTAAAGTACAGAGGCCCATGTGCCCACGAAAATTTTCCCCTAGCATCCTTACCCTTGCAAATACATTTTATCTCAAAAAATTGTTTTATACCCTTCTTTCTTACCCACAGAAAATGCTGGCTTCACTATTTTTTCCCTCTCTTCCTAATACCATCCATTCTCTGATTCTATTCCAAGTCTCTACAAAATATTCAGTGCTTTAATCCTTCCACCCTTAATCACATTTTTAAATGCTTTCTTCTTGTTGTATGAGTAAAAGAGACATATATGGCCACATATTTGGAAAGTAAAAACAATAGCATATTTGGCTTTGTTTTAACTAATGTGAACATTTCTAAATGCATGGCCTACTTTATGATCTGCCAATGACACATTATTTTTTTTTTTTAATATGAGCTTTTACAAGGTAAGGAGCCAATCTCCATAAAGCCTTCAGCACTATAATTCTCTCATCCAGGAAGGCACCGTGTTGATGTTCCAATCACGGACTTCCAGCGTGTTGGGGAAACTTCTTTACAAACAACAATTCATGTGCATTTTCAAGTAAGTCTCAGTTTACAAATATGACCAGACACATTGTCCTAAGGCCAATGCACACCATCCTGCCTCCCTAACTGCATTACAAATTTGACAGCCTAAAAGTGTTGATGCTAACTTTACTTTAAATTTGCTTATTAAATATTTCCTTTATCCTGGAGAAAGAGACTTAATGTAGATGATTGTGTACTCTTCTCCTACTATTAGAAATCGTTTTGAGAGACCATAGCTATTGGAAGGAAATAAGCAATTCAATCCCACTTCAGGCACATGCAAGCTGTTGCCATCTATTCCAACTCATGACTTCTGGACATCAAGTCTATACTGAGCTTAAAAAACAAACAAACACAAAAGCCAGAATGCAGTGGTCAAGACATTCAGATCCACAAGGCTTCCTAAATTCACCATCCTTCAAATCAGAGTTAAGATAGAAATTCCACTCAAAGGACACTAGCCATTAAATCTAAAACCTGTTCAAAATAAAAGGGCAAAAACGAAATCAAAACACAAAAATTCCACAGCTTTATTTAAGAAGTGCTGTTTAAGCTGTAAAGGATTTCCTGTTGCTCTTGTTTTAAATCATTTTATAGTATTCTTTTGTTCTTGGGTTACTCTATATCCAAATAATCACATATGTAAATGACTCAATGCAACAGTGGATGCCACTGACAATGTAAACAGTATTGTTTATCCAGAAGCATTCTATGCTCATGCAAAAATGGCATTAAAAGCTTGTGGTCAGATCAAAAAACCACAACTGTAATTGTTTATTTATATAGCTCCCCATTATTCTGTAGCATCAGTTTACATTTTTAAAAATCTTTCAACATTGCTGAGTTAGTCTTAGAAGAGTGAAAAATGCAACGCTTGCCTAAATGATTAAAGACAAACAACTTAGGTCTATGCATGCAGCAAGATGCTTTAATATGGAAATTATTTACTTTGCCCTGGCTTATAGTTTTCATTTTGATGCTGCCCTTGAAACTCCTTGATAACAGGGCCATTCAGCGGAATTTCTGCATTTTTTCTCTGTAGTTCAGGGCAGCTGGTTTCTTTCCTCTCTAAGCAGAGAGCTAAAGTATATTTATCACTCTAACAGTGACTCAAAACAAACAGGAAGTCTTCATCAGCCGGCTCCTGGGCATAGCTGATATTAGGTACTGGCAGAAAGGAAACAGAGACCTCATTCTGTGGAAGTCCGACAGAATGTACATGCAGATGCGGGCGATAACAAAGTTAGGGATGCTCCAAATGACCACCACGTTCTCCCAAGATGAAGTGCTCTTGCAGTGCTCGCCGGTTTTCAGAGTCTGTGAAAATTCCTCAGGAGTTTTCCTTTCCATTTCAGTTTGAAAGAGTAGTTTGAACTGGATACCACGAGCCTTAGAATCCTTGTGAACCTATGCGCCAAAGAAAACCTGGGAGGGAGCTATTCTGGGAGATTTGGCTTTGATCTGGTTGCTAGGAAAAAGCCCTGCTTTTGTCTGCAAGTATTCTGAATGGCTCCTTCAGTCAGAATGAGGCCTGCAGGTCACTGTCTGAATTAAGTGAAGAGAATTTTTTTTTTAATGCTAAAAATGAAGTTGTCGCTGTGTGCCATAATAAAGCTGGAGAGAGCAAACTGTGCTGCTGAGCGATGGCCATGGCTCCTTGCTACAACTTAAACTCCAAGGTATACTGTGAAAATCACCCAAGCGTGCCTGCAGATCAAATATATGCAAATATCCCTCAGTGGCGCATATGTTCCTAGAGACCTTAGCCTTCACCTTCTTTTGCAAATAAAACCTGTTTCAGATTCAAAGCCCACTTTGTTTTTATTAATATAAATGTTCACTATCAAACAATTTTTTAACCTTATAAATAAATAGAAAGGTCAAACATTCACACCTGACTTTTTGCTGCGAAACCAAACTCGAAAGAGGTTAGACTGCAAACGACTGATACCGAATCAAAAATGATTAGGCAATACACTTTGGGAGGTCCTTTAATTCTTTTTTTTATTTGTTGACTAATCTCCTTGTTTATGATAATGCTCATACCTTTGTATAAGGACTTTACAGCCATTATCTAATCTTCACAGATCCTGGTGAGGTAGAAAGGGAGCAAATCTTATCTCCATTCTCCAGATGAGGACACAGAGACACAAGGAGGTTGAGTAACAAGCTCACATTTTAAGTGGCACGTTCCATCCAGATGCAAAAATGACAGTAGGGCACGGGCTTTGCTTTTCCAGTAATGGGGCTGGATTTTCACCCGTCACTCACATGTTCACCAGAACCCCTTGAAGACCAGCATTTCTGTAGGGACTGTACTGAATCTCCATACAACCTGTTGGAAAAATACGCAGCCAACTGGCCCACCTGAGGATCAAACCCTCGACCTTAGTTCCTTTGGCATTGAGTGCCAATGAACTGAACCACAGACTGAAAGCCGAAGTAGCCCAGTGCAGAATGGGACCAATCCAAAAAGTTCCATTGCTCCCTTTTAAATAACTCTGGCATAGGAGAGAAGGCACTATATTTCATGAACTTACCTAGTTTTGATCTCTCTCAAGTTTGAAACATATTTTACACTCCAAGCAAACCTGAATATGTGACATGTAAATGCAAAACTAAGAGAGCAAGGGGCACCTGGCTGGCTTAGTCAGTAGAGCATATGACGCTTGACCTTGGGGTCATGAGTTTGAGCCCCACATTGGGTGTGGAGATGACTTAAATTTTTTTTTAAATCTTAAAAAAAAAAGATAAGAGAGCTAAGAGGTAACTGCACGAGTGAAAATTTAACCACAGTAAGAAAAAAATGAACGACAGAAAAATGTACCAAGGCTGGGACTGTTAGGACCATAGCATCTTTATGGGTCTCCATAAAGCATCTCCTCACTTATATTAGTGCTATAGGTCTAGACAGTAGAGAAAAGGAAAAGTTAAAAATGAGAACGATCATTTTCCAAATAATTAGATACCCCTTCTCTCATTCTCACTCTCGTTAACTTTACTAAGACATAACGGAGATCCTCCTTTCAAGGAAGTGGGGACCCTTATGCCTCAGTTAAGGTTCTAGAGAAAAATCTATGCAAAACCACTGGCATGTCAACCAGATACAACCTGCATTGCCAGCTGAGGAGAGATGATCTCCCAAAAACAGGCCGGGGACGCCTCTCTTCTATCAGAGCACCTCCTGGAGCTTTCAGACACAGGAAGGGAGCCTGGCCTATCTTTTGGAATGCAAAATTCTCTACAGAACACCAGGCAAGAAGCACAGGAAGCTCAAAACAGACATCCCTCCCCAAAACCAAAACAAAAGTATTTTCAGGGCAGCATATTCTCTCTCAGTCTACCTGTGTACTAATTCTAATTTCCTCTCAAACTGCATATACAGTCGTAGGTCTGTGAGTTGTGGATCTGTGAACACTACAAAAATGCCTGCAATCTATCTCTGAAAGCCACAAAGCCAATCTCGGTTTGGGTATCATATGCATGGATCCTGAACTCTCCCAATCCAAGACTACCAAGTGCTTTTGTGCTCAACTCTGAATGTGGAGAAGGTCTTCCTGGACCCACAAAATGGCAACAGGCTAGCCGTACCAATTAACCAGACCACAGGAAGGGTTCTTCAGGCTTTGCGGAAGACCAGCCCCCAAGACCCCCCACTGAGTGGGACCCAAACCCTGGGGCTCCCACTACCCTTACTTATCCCCCCCCCCCACCTTGTGCAAACATTCCAGCTACCCAGGAGAACTTGACATTCATTTCTCACAGTGTCGCCATGGCTAGAGCTAAGCAAAAGCCAAAAATGAATTAGGTAAATATAGTAGGTTCAGGCACAAATTCAGCAGGTGGATTTATTTGCAAATTACTCTTTTGAAGCATCTCATTTAAGATTCTCTTTAGAGACACAGTAGAGAATTTTATCATTCTTAAAGTAAAGCAAAGCAGTATTTGATTTCAACATTTGGTGCATAGCCAATCATATAAAAATACTTAATAAAAGAATCCTTTTTGAAGTTATTATGCATTTATTACAGGATTATCGATTTCAGTAATGAGAATTTTATTGTTAGTATTGGGTTGACATGAGACATTTTTTTTTTCCTGGAGATTTCTCTAACATTTAATTGAGTCACCTTATTCCTTCTGCCCCAATACACAACTGTTCCTGTTATTCTTTGAATTAATTTGGATAAAAGCCTTCTGCAAAAGCCATCTTTCTGGATCCGCATCCTCCTCTCTGAGCATTTGTTAACACATTACATTATACTAAAGTGAATCCACCCCCAAGAAATTAGACAATCTATCCTGGTTTTAATATTTTTTGAAGGCTTACAAAGTGCTAATCACGAAAGCAGTGATTCCCAGCCCTGGTTTTGCGATAGCCTGGGATATCTCCAATTACCTCATAGTTCTTAAAAAAACAAAATTCCAAAAATTTTTCAGATGAAAATTAATTCTAATTTTATTTAATTTGAAATATAAATATCTGCCGTCGCAGATAGGAAGTGTGTGTCACAGTAGGACTTGGTGGCTGGAGAGTTGTTTAAAAAAAAAAAAAAGCAACAATAACCCATTGAAACTCCGCAAAGCTCAAAATCATTATGCTTCCCCCTCAGAAAAGAAATACTATTCTTATTCCTAGGAACTTAAATTCCTAACACACACCTTCTTGCAGGCACAGAAAGGAGCTAGGACAAAACCCATTCCAGGACATTTCCTCAAAAAGAATACAAATAAGGTGTGTCACGCATTTTCCTGAATAAAATAAACATGATAATATCTAATAATACCACCGCACTATTATATGTGGCCAAATTACAGTTGTGCTAAGGAATGAGAAAATCTCTGGAATAGAACCAGGATTGCTTTTTAATTGTCCATTAGAAAAAGCAAAGAATAAAACCGCCTGCAATGATTTCCTTTTGAGATCATGCACCTTATTTTTAAAATACGAAATCAAAAACATATTGGGACGCATGGTGAGGCTGAGCAAAGCGAACTGTCTCCTCTCCTCAGCTCAGACTCAGCAGCTACAGCAAGCCCACAGTGCCAGCTGGAGCCTGCCAAGGCAACTAGCATTGCACGAAACAAAATCTTCATTCTTCGGTTCCGAGCTGACTCTGCCGAGAACATCTTTCTCTCCTCACCTTTTCTTCCTTGTTTTCTGAACTGAGATCTTTCTATTCAAGGATGTTCTTCCATTATGTGAGACGCCCCCAGAGCCAATGAAAAACGAGGACACTTTTATTTCGCGTGAAGATTCCTCTCCCAGGGCCATATTCCATGAATGAATGGCTTGTAGGACAGACCGCTAATAATAAACTCCACCAACTGTGCCAACACAAGTGTGAGAAATGCACGGGGAGGCTAAGGCTGGCCAAAGGAATTCTCCCATACCTGCAGCGGCTGACTCCTTCCAAGAAAGCTGTTGAGTCTGCTCATGTACTCACTTATTTGCCAGGAAGGTATTCCTTTTAAAAAGTAAAAATAAATAGCTCCTACCACCTCCTCCTTGACTTGAAATCACTATTTCTACTAGAAAATAAACTCGTAAACTCCATCTGTTAAGATACTGGAGAACTCTGCCGGACAAAACATACCGATATTTGTTGAAGGAGCAATCCTATACTGGCTAGAAAAGGAACTGGGAACAAGGAGGTCATTTCCCATTCAAATTTAAATGTCACCATGAAATACTGTTGAAAAATCAAACACATCAAGAGTGACTGCACATGTCACAGACTCATCTCCTCTGACCTCCCTAACACTTGTATGAGGGTGTTACTGTCACTGAATTGTCTGGATTCCAAAGAGCATTCTGGCTGAGCTCTCACCCACCCTGTGGATTAACTAAGACCATTTTTTTTTCCCTCCTTTTAAATCTCAGGCTTGTTTTCCCCTTGCAACACAAAAGGCTTTGAGTCCCACCTACCCACTGTCGATTAGCTGGTGTGCAAAGAAGAAAGCAACTTGGTTAATTGTGGAAATGGAACACGTTAGAAAATACAGCCACATAAGTTATTTCACAATCTACTTCATTTACTGGATAAAACATAACCTTCCACCCATTACTCAAGCCATCTTCACACCCATTCTTTTCATGTATTCATCATCCACTTAACCAATATTTATTGAGCATCTACTATATCCCAAGCACTTTGCTGGACACTGAGTTTGTAGCACTAGAGAAGACAGAGCCAGTCCCATCCTCTGAAGTGAAAATGCTCCTAGAGACTCAGAAAAAGACAGAGATTGTTTTAATTCACTTTGGGAAATGATAAAATCAAGAGGAAAATTATAACTAGGTAGAGCGATAAAGACTAATTTGAATAAAGTTTTCTAAATATGAAGACAGTGACCTTAACAAGTGTGGGAAAAAAAAGAGTCATGGATATAACATTTCAGGTTGGTTGTTCAGAGAAGGGCTCTCAAAGGCCAAGATATCTGAGCTGATTTTCTTTTTTTCAACGTTTTTTATTTATTTTTGGGACAGAGAGAGACAGAGCATGAACGGGGGAGGGTCAGAGAGAGAGGGAGACACAGAATCGGAAACAGGCTCCAGGCTCTGAGCCATCAGCCCAGAGCCCGACGCGGGGCTCGAACCCACGGACCGCGAGATCGTGACCTGGCTGAAGTCGGACGCTTAACCGACTGCGCCACCCAGGCGCCCCTGAGCTGATTTTCTGTGAGAAGAGAGGCCAGGCAAAAAACAAAAGCAGGGGAACCTGGGTGATTCCGTCAGTTAAGCGACTGACTCTTGATTTCTGCTCAGGTCATGATCTCAGTGCCATGAGATATGAGCACCTCGATGGGCTTTGCGCTGGGTGCAGAGCCTGCCTGAGATTCTCTCTCTCTCCTTCTCCTCCTGCCCTTCCCCTGCACATGCACACATGCTCTCTCTTTCTCTCTCTCAAAAAAAAAAAAAAAAAAAGGAAAAACAAAACTTTTAAAAAAGAGTAAAATGCCCTAGACTGAGAAAGAGCTCGGTGAGTCCAAGGAATAGAAAGGAAGCAAGCAGGCTGAAACATAATGGAAAGCAAAATAAGGTAAGTCTGGAAATTTGAGGGACTTGGAGGTTGGAATTTGTTCTAAATGCAACAGGAAGCCTTTGGAGGATATCAGGCAAGGAAGTGACTTGATCTGATTGAGGCTTTCAAACAGTAGAGTGTCTGCACTCCACAGAGTCTAAGGAAGGATCCAAGCAGGGTGGATTCAGGATGTATTTTAGAGTAAGAACAAGAAAAGGGCTAAAAAAATAACTGCATTTTTTTTTTTTTTTACTTGAACAGTTGAGTAGATGATAAACTGAGACAGAGATGATGCTGGGGGGGAATACTTCTACTCTCTTTCTTCTAGGTGGGAGAGGTGGACATTCACTTATTCAACTTTGTCCCTCAGCAATCCTTGAATGCAAGAAAAATAGACTTTTATCCGCTTTCCTTATGTTCTAGTGTCCTATTTAAATCACAATATTCTAGATTGCTGGCATGCTTTTCTACTCCATTTACATCAGTTTCAAACCCTAGTTTAATATCCAGCTCCTCTAAGAAGATTTTGCTGATTAAAACTCTCCTCCTAATGATTATGCCTTATTAATATCCATTCTTTCCATTTTTATTACAAATCTTTTACTCTATTTTATACTTGGCTCCTACAGGATTGAGACCAGATTCTTCAGCCTTCCTCTCTTT